AGTTTCTCTGTAAATAAACGCTACCAGAATCAGGCTCCCAGGTCTCCTTGCATTTTAACATTTGTTATGTTTTAGCAGCTTGAAATTAAGTGTGCCATTTGATTTCTATCAAAACTAGACAAACCCAGTAAAGTCAGTTGATTTGGATTGGAGTATATCACTTTCCATGAATATTCCCTTAAGTTTGTTACTTTAAAATTGAGGAGCAGATAGTAAAATATCATAATAGTGATGACTCGAATAACATAATCTGACTATAATGGTTTAGACAAAAATACTACTAGAAATATGTTTGTATGTGTAGGTCTTTTCACCTTTTGAGAATATATGTCTAGTGCTGGTATTGCTGGGTTAAAAGTCATATTAATGGCTTTGGGATTATACTTCCAAATTTTTTCACAGAACAGTTGAAACAGTTAGCTCCACTAGCATGACATTAATGTGCCTCTTATCTCTTGGCTTCTCCAGCAGTAGTCATTCTTTTTGGTCACAATTGCTAATCTGATATGATAGAGTTTGATAGGATTTGATAGAGAACCTCAGAGTTGTTTTGCTTTTATTTCTGTTGCTTACTTGGGGAATTTTTTCATGTGGTTATTGATAGTTTACATTTCTTTTTTTGAGAGTTGTCTCTGAGTTGTGGCAGCTAGATGGTGCAGTGGATAGAATATTGGGCGTGGGGCAGACCTTAGTTTAGATCCTGCTTCACACACTTACTATCTGTGTTATCTTGGGTCAGTCACATCACCTCAGATTCCTCATCTGTAAAATGGGAAAAATAACAAGACCAACTTGCTATCTGCTGTTATAACGTAATATACAAAACAAGGTATTAGTTGAGTGGGTGATCAATAAAGGCTTCATGTAGAAATTGATGCTTGTACTGAGCTTTGAAGAAAGCTAAGAAGGGAGTGAATTCCAAGTATGGTGTGGGAGGCAGCCTTCTGAGGGTACATAGACATTAAAAGTGTCCTGTGTGAGGAGCAAGGAAGAAGACTTCCCATTTACCCACATTTGTGGGTCACCTTTGATTCTTTCTTCTTCTTTAGTCTACCTGCCCTCTATTTAATCAGTTTTATATTCCTCTCTGTTATGTTGTCACATTTCTGGTATTCCTTTTCTCTCAACTCATGCTGCCCCCATCCTCAGTTGAGGCCTTCAGCTCTTAGCTGGATTGTTGTAGTTACCTCCTAATTTGTTTCTTTGCTTTTAGGCTCTCCCCTCTCTAATCCATCCTTCATACAGATCTGCTCAAAAATCTTTACTGGCTGTGTATTGCCTCTAGGGCAGGGGTTGTTATAGACCCCTTGTGGAGCCTATGTACTTCTTAAAATAATATTTTAAATGCATTAAATGAAGTGCATAGAATTACAAAGGAAACTAATTATAATGAACTATAGTTACCAAAAACAGTGAAGAAAAACAAGTAAGTTCATGGATCTCAGGTTAAGAACCCCAGCCATAGGATAAGATACAAACTTCTTCATTTGCCATTTAACTTCCTCAATAATCTGATGGCAGCTTACCTTTGTGTCATTATTTATACTATTCCCCTTCATATATTTAGTGTTCCAGTCGAGCTAGTCTACTAGCTGTTTCCCACCATAGCTACAAAGCAATGTCTCCTGACCTCTGACTTTCAGAATCACTCTCTTCCTTCCAAGCCTAGCCTACATGCCACATCTTCCATGAAGCCTTCCCTAATTTCCCCCAGCTTCTAATGTTTTTTCCTCCCCATATACTTATATTAAATATAAATAATAAAAATATTTTATTATATAAATATATGAAATAAATAAAAATAATAAAAATATAAAATACATTTAATCATGTTGTACCTATTGTATCACTCAGTCAAATGTAAGCTTCTTGAGAGAACTGTTTTGTTTCTGTCCTTGTGTGACTAGTGTCTAGCACATAGCCCTATGTTCATGTCATCACGGACTCTTAATTCAATATAATCTTTTAATATTTTTTCTTTTCAGGTAAAGTGGAATTAAAAAATGAATATCTTGCTAGTTTTTGTTCTAGTTCTATAGACTAGATAATTTATATGTAGTTCAATAAAAGCTTTAAATTTAGTATTTTGGAATATATAGCTGTCTTGATTGTTTGTTTCACATCATGATAATATAATGAGTTTATTTTAATTTTATTCATATTGACCAAACTCCAGATTTCTAGAATTTTGTAGAGGTCATTTCCTTCCTTTTTATCTTGATCTGATCTTTTTTTTTTTTAACACTATTTTAATGATTATTATTTTGTGAACTGTTTTAGTGCTTGCCCTATGTTTTATCACTACACTGGGACTTTTACATTTTTGGATTCTAATATTATTCTTTACTGTAGCAGATGTTGTTATTCAGTTGTGTCTTAATTCTTTGTGACCCTGTGGACCATACTGTCTATGTGGTTTTCTTGGCAAGGCTACAAAGGCAGTTTATCATTTCCTTCTCCAGTAGATTAAGACAAACAGAGTTTGAGTGACTTGCCCAAGGACACACAACTAGTAAGTGTTTGAGGCTGAATTTGAATTCATATCTTCCTGACTTGCTGCCTACTATAGCATAAGTAGTTTTTAATGGCTTAGTTTAATTTTTCTTTTATTGATGTGTTTTGTTTTCATATCACATTTAATTCCTTCCTTTCCCTTACTTTCATAGCAAGCCATCCTTTGTAACAAGATTGAAAAAGGAAAAAAAAAATGTTCAGCAAAGCCAGCCAGCATATTGACCAAATCAGACTGTATATACAGTACCCAACATGCATAATCCTTCACTTTGACAATGAGGGGAGGGAGGTATATTTTCTCAACTGTTTTCTGTTGCCATACTTGGTCATTGTGTAGTTTTATTTTTTGTTCTCTCTGTTACATTGTTGTAATTACAGATATTATTTTTCTAGTTCTGCTTATTTCATTTAGTAGCAGTCAGTTTTAAGTCATTTCTCTGCATTATTCATATTTAATGTTTCTTATTATACAGTAATTTTCCATTATATTAATGTATCACCCGTTGCGTAGCTATAATCCAATCAATGCCTACTTTGTTTCTAGTTATTTGGTGCCATAAAAGTGCCATAATTAATATTTTAGTTTATGTAAAACTTCTTTATCTGTCTTTGATTTCCTACCAGTATATGCCTAGCAAGGGGATTTCTGGAGCAAAGGATATGAATATTTTAGTTTATTTTGGGAAGAGGGGAAATTTCTTTTCAGAATAGTTGAACCAATTCATAGCTTCACCAAGTGTATTAGTGAGGTTTCTTCTATCCCTCCTAACATCAACTATTTTCATACTTCTTGTCTTTAACAATTTGCTGTATGAGAGGTGAAGCCTTAGAGTTGTTTTCATGTGCATTTCTTATTGTCACTGATCTGGAGCAATTTTGTCACATGGTTGTAATAATTTTCAAATCTTCTTTTGAAAACTATTCATGTACTTTGACCATTTATGTATTGAGGAATCGCTATTGAGTTTACACATTTTTGTAAAAATTCTGTATGATTTGGATATCAGACTTTTGTTAGATACATTTTATTCAAAGATTTTTTTGAACCTTGTTTCTTCACAACAAAATGGGCATTAACTTTACTTTTGTATCCCAGAATATTTTGAGAATAAAGGGGCAGTGCTTCTATTATTAACCGATTAGGTAAATGTGCTAGAATAAGTACATGGAATTATTTCTCATATATCTTAATTGAGTATAATTCCTGTGAAGAAAGGAAAATATTTCTGTAAAACATATGATACCTATGCATTTAATACTTTTAATATTTTTCCTTTTTATTGAGATCCCTCATTTCATCAGTATGTGGAAACTTCTGCTACTGATGCTGATTGACCATTTTTCTGAAACTGAGAGTCTTAGAAACATGCTGGCCTAGAGAAGTGAAGGCACTTGCCCAGCTCACACAGCTGGTGTGTGGCTGAGGCAGGGTTTGAATACAGGTTTTCTTTTCTGGGTGACCTGTCATCCACTTCATCATGCATTTTCCTGCATATATTAATATTCTTATGTCTTCATTCAGAGTGCAGCATAGTGGATAGAGAACGGGCCTTGAAGCCAAGAAGACCTGGGTTTAAGGTTAAGACCCATACTGCCTGTATGTATGTATGGATAGACCTGCATGCATCACTTATTCTTTCAGTGATCTAGGCAGCTAAGACTGTGAGTTACCTGCATTGATAGAAGGAGTATGCTGCTATACTAGTGAAATCACAGCTCCAGTCCCTATCCTTGTCTCTATCCCTGTCCTTTACTCAGGGTGTTATCATTAGGCCTTTAAAAATGGTACCCGGATCTGTCTGCTGAGTTATTGATTTAATTGTTCACAATTCTTCTTTCTTCTTTTAGATTTTCTTCTGTACCAATCTGTGCAAATTGTGGAGCCAGGAGGGTTCCATGTACCATCTGCTTAAACAGTGGCTGTGACCTGTTCATCTTGCTTCATCAAAAAAAATATTCCAATATTTTGTGACTTCTGTACACTTTTCTACCTAACCAGCTTATCTAAAGGATATTCTCTTTGTAGTCTCACTTTCCTTAGATTGATTTTGTTAAGTCTTCTAATCCATGACACTGTTGCTATCCTAAATTCTCTGAACAGGTGAATAATATTAAAAGGAGGAGGATGTGTTAATTAGTTTTAGGTCTATATCACTACAATCAGATATTGTGTATTTTACATGTCCTAGGATAGTCCATTTAAAAATGCATCTAATTACAAGTCTTGTGACATGGTCAGGAAGACCTGAACTCAAATTCTGCCTTGCAGTCTTATGCAGTCTTACTAGCTATGTAACCCTGGGCAAGTCACTTACTCTTTTAGCCTCTGTGTCCTCATCTATAAAATGGGGATAATAGCATCTACCTCACAGGATTGTTCTGAGAATCAAATGGGATAATGTATGTAAAGTGCTTTGTAGACCTTAAAGGACTATATAAATGCCAATTATCATCACATTTTTAAATGTTTTTCTGTTTGCTCACAGTAATCACGGGCCAGCAACGTGGTGGTGTCATCTCAGCGAAGACTCGAATTGATGTCCTTGTGGAGAGTTTCCGAAGAAAACAGCCCTTCACTCACTTCCTTTCTTTCTCCCTCAACCAACCCGATGTTCAGGAAGGGTTCTTGAAGTTCCAGGAGAAAGTCTTGGAGAAGTGCTCAATGGTAAGCAGGAGCTGGGATGTTAGCATGATGCTGTTCATGGTAGGGCTTCTGTCTCTAGGAGTTTAAGGCTCATTACATGACGAGACTTTGATTTTCTTCAAAGGTGGAAAAAAAGTGTGATGGTGAAGTAGCTTTAGGGTATGTTAAATTAGTTCATCTGTGTTAGAAAATAACTGGATAGACTCTGAATGTACTAAATAGTAATCATGCGTCATTTAAGATAAATATCTTTCAGGTTAAAAAGAAGAAATTAATGAAACAGAAAGTAACTGAATTCAGACTGAAGTTAATTATGTATTCCGGTTATGGAGGGATTTAAAAGAATAAGGGGCAGGTCTTCAAACTGAAGTCATAATATGTTGGAGATCTAACAGAAGGTAGCAGACCTAGAATGTGAGCTCTGTTTCTTTCTTCAGTTATGCTCTTAATAGTTTTTTGTTTCATTGTTAAAGTAAGTTTTTATAAATACCTTTTGTTTTTACATTACTTACATTTTCCATCATATCTCCTTCCATTCCAAGTGAGCTATCCTTAAAGAATAAAAAAGAGAAAAAAAACCCCCAGGATAGCAAAACTAACCAAAACATCAAAACAGTTTGACAGTATCTGCAGTGGTATACCCTCTGCAAAGAAGGGAGGGGCGTGCTGCTGAGTTGGTCCTTATAATTTCATAGTATCCAGTTTTGATTCTTTTCTTGTTTCCATTTATACTTTGTAGTTGTGTATAGTCTTCCTGGTTTTGCTTACTTTACTTCGTATCCATTTATAAATCTTTCTATGTCTCTCTGTATTCATCATAGTTACTGTTCCTTACAACAGTGTAATATTCCATTACATTCATTTACCTCAATTTGTTTAGCTGTTTCCAAATCTGTGGGCATCTACTTTGTTTCCAGTTCTTTACTGCCATGAAAAGTACTGCTATAAATATATTGGCGTATATGGGGCCTTTTTGTCATTGACCTCCTTGGGGGTAGCATTGGACATTGTGGATCAAAGGGTATAGACATTTTAGTCACTTTCTTTGCATAATTCCAGATTCCTTTCCAGGATAATTGTACAAGTTCATAGCTTCACATGAAGTGTTTCTATACGTAAATTGCTCCAACACTATTTCTATCTTTTGTCATTTTGCCAATTTGCTGAATATGAGGAGAAACTTCAGAGTTGTTTTGATTTGCATTCTCTTATTATTAGTGATTTGGGGCATTCTTTTATATGGTTGTTAATAATTTGCAAGTCTTCTTTTGAGAAATGTTTGTTTACTCTGACTACTTTATCTATTGGGAATGACTTTTGGTCTTATGTATTTCTGTTAGTTGTTTATATATGTTGTCAATCAGACTCTTGTCAGTCAGTTAATAAACATTTATTAAGCACTAAGGTAGGTGGTAGTTCCAGGTACTGTGCTAAGCTTGAGGATACAAAAAAAGGTAAATAGTCCCTGCCCTAGAAATGCACATTTTAATGAAGGAGACAACTTGCAAATATGTACAAGATATACCCAGTGTAAATGGAAGGTGATTGCAGTGGGGGTTGGGGTAGGGTGGGTTGGAGACTGGGAAAGGTTTTTTGCCAGAGGTAGGATTTGAGCTGTCCTGGAGGAAACCAGAGAATAAAAGAGGGAAAGAATTCCAGGCATGGGGGCAGCCAGGGAAAACCCTTGGAGTGAGGAGATGAGTGGTGTGTGTGAGGATCAGCATGTAGCCAGTATGAGTGAATTGTTGAGTGCCTCAAGGCAGAATAAAGTGTAAGATAAATGGAAGGACGTGAAGAGCTGTTAGGGATCTGTAAGGATGTAGAGGGTCACAGGGGTTCATGAGATCTCACTAATGGGTGGAGGCCCCTCTCGGGTGTTGGTCCATGAGCAAAGGTCGCCTGGTTTGGTGCTCCATCCTGTGGATCTTTAACTCCCCTCATTACTGTGTGGTCATTAGCAGTTTACTTGTGATTGGAGACAGATAAGTGCACAGGATGTGCATGCACTGCCCACTAGCACTGCATGGGCTCTACGTCATTGTAACTTGAGAAGAAGTTCCTGTTACTTTACTACGTAAGTGAATGCTTTGTTTAAAATAAACGGAGTTGCTTCCATCCTGCCTCGCGCCTCATCAATGTGCATTCGAGATAGAAGATCAAGCTGGTCTTGAGCCTTCAAAGTTAGTATAGGATCTTTGCTCTTGTGGTGAGCTGACTTAGTTGTTCACAACAAAGAGCTTTAAATATACAACAGGTTTTATAATTGATCCTGGAGGTTTTGGGGAATTGCTGGAGTTTATCCAGTGGGAGGTGATGTGGTCAAATCTGATCTTTAGAAAAAGAGCTTTGGAGAATAGAGTGGAGTACTTGAGGCAGGGAGAACAATTAGAAAGCTGTTACAGTAGTACTGGCAGTAGGTGATGGGGCCTGTGCTAGTGTGGTGGCTATGTGAATTGAAAGAAGAGGATATGTAGGGAGATGTTGTCAAGGCAGAAATGACAGGATTTCACAAAGGGTGGGATATGTGGAGTGAGTACGAGTTGAGGATGATTTGGATTGTTAGCTTGGGTAACTGGAAGATTGGTGAAACATTTGATATAAGGATTTTTTCCCTAGTCAGCTGCTTCATGTCTTATCCTAGATGCATTAATTTAGTTTGTAAAAACTTTTTAATTTTCACATAATAAAAAGTAACTGTTTTATCTTTTCTAATTGCCTCTATCCCTTGTTTAGTTAAGAATTATTCACCCTTTAGCCATAGCTATGAAAGGTACCTGATCTGATTCTTTTCTGATTTTTATGCTATCATCTTTAACATCCAAGTCATGTAGCCATTTAAGATGTATTGTGGAATTTGGTGCAAGATGTTAGTCTAAACCTAATTGGAAGTTCTTACTTAAGAACTTAAGTTTGTGCCCAGGGGTTTATTTAACACTAGACTCTGTTCAGTTATTGGTAAGTTTTGCTTTACCTAATCTATTCCTTTTATAAATGCTTCTTTTTATCAAACCAGTTTCGATGATTATTGCTTTATAGTATAGTTTGAGATTGGTGGTTATCACAGATGATTTTCATACACTAAACCCTTTTAGTTTATTTCCCTTGAGATTCTCAACCTTTTGTTCTTCCAGGTGAATTTTGGTATTTTCTCTAGTTTTACAAATTCTAACTCTTTAAGTGTCTATTATTAAGTGCCAGGCACTCCACTAAGAGTTGAGGAGATCAAGAAAGACAACAAACAGTCCTTAGCTCTCTAGGTCCTCACAGTCTAATGAGGCAGAAAGTATACAAATAACTATGTAAACAAAACAAGATATACACAGGATAAATTGATGGTTGTATCAGAGGGAAGACACTAAGATAAGGAGGACTGGGAAAGGCTTCATGCAGAAAATCAGACTTTGGTTGAGATTTGAAGGAAGCCAGGGGAGCTGGGAAGTAGAAATGAGGAAGGGGAGAGTCTTTGAGGCATGGGATGGCCAGCCAGTCAGAATGATTGCAGTTGGGAGGTAGAGTATGGCTCTTAATCTGTAAATTTTTTTAGTATCACTATTGTACTGGTGAAACCAACCGTGAGTATTGGCAAGCTCTCCTGTTAACTTCCTATATTCCCATAAGTCTTAGGTAGGCTGAATTCCAGATAATTATGTATATTCTACTTAATTTTGAGTGTAATTTTTGTTTCTCTTCTTGCTGGCTTCTGTGAGTATTACATAGAAAGCTGATGTTTTTGGTGTTTTTTTGTACCCTGCTACTTTTCTGAACTTACTGATTGTTTTGATTATTTTTTTTTCATTGAATCATTGAGATTCTTTAACTAAACTGTCATATTGTTTGCCTGTAGAAATAGTTTTGGCTTCCTCTCTGCCTATGCATATTACCTCAGTATTTTTTTGCTTATTTTCTGTAGCTGACATTTCTAAAGCTACATCAAATAATAGTTGTAACAGTAAAAATTCTTGTTTTGTCCTGATCTTATTGGAAAGCCTTCTAGTTAATATTTCTCCAATATAAATAATACTAACTCTTGGTTTTAGACAGATATATGTTATCATATTAAAGATATGTCTTTTTCTTTATATGATTTTTGTGCTTTTAACAGAAGTATTACATGTTTTTTAAAATTTGATGTTTTGATTCTGAATTTAAACATCAAAAAAGGAAATTTCCATATGCACAGCAGAACACAAAAAAGAGACTTGTATAGGAAACTGTGAATCCTGTTTCATACTACTGGCTTTTAAAAAAAGTATCTAACAAATTCAGCAAGTTAGTTTCAAATCTGTCCTGTTTACTTGTGCTTCTTTCTGAACTTCCTTCTTTTTTGTGCATTTCAAAAGTTTTAATGGCTCTGTTAACTTTCCCCTGTTTACCACAGCCCACTCTCCCTTAAAAACATAAAGAAAAAAAAACTTGTAAAAAGTAAGCATGGTTAAGCAAAACTAATCCACAGAGAGGCCCTGTCTGCATTGAGTCTATCATGCCTCTGTCAGGAAATGAGTAACATACTTCATTCTAAGTCCTCTGGAAACATGATTAGTCATTGCATTTATGAAAAGCTCTTAAGTCTTTCAAAGTTGCTTTTCTTTATAATGTTGTTGTCTTTGTAAGAATTGTCCTCCTGGTTCTGCTCATTTTGCTATTCCTCAATTTTCATGCTACCAAGGTTCCTGATATTATTTCTTTTGTCATTTCTTTTTTATTTTAAACTATATTTTTTTCTTTTTGCTAGGCAATCGGGGTTAAGTGACTTGCCCAGGGTCACACAGCTAGTGTCATGTGTTGTGTGTCTGAGACCGTATTTGAACTCAGGTCCTCCTGACTCCAAGGCCAGAGCTCTGTCCACTGTGCCACCTAGCTGCCTCTCTTTTGTCATTTCTTATGGCCCAATAATATTACATTACATTCATATATCATTGAGTCAGTAAATATTAAGTGCCTACCAGGTACCTGGCACTGTGCTAAGTGCTAGGAATACAAAAAAAGATAAAAGGCAGTTCCTGCTCTCAAGGAACTCACAA